GTGTGTGTGTGTGTGTGTGTGTGTGTGTGTGTCCAGCAGAAGAATATGGACCGCCCTCAAGATCTGGAGAAGATCCCGCGAGCGCCTCACGACCGCAGGAAGGAGTGGCAGAAGATGGCTCTGGGAGCGGAGCTCGCCGAAGAAGAGGACAAACACAGAGACGCCAACGGATCGGCAGCCTACCACGAGCACAGGCCAGTTTCTGGAGAACAATCCTCATATAATAATGCTTCGTTCACTCAAAAACTGAGGTGCATGGGCTCAAATCAGTGATCAACCAGTTCCAACAAGAAATGCTAAATTTGTGCTAATTTAAAGAAAACAATTTGACAAAAAGATTGAATAAAAAAATAGGAAATAAAATCCCCAAAAAGTACAAAAATTATCAAAAAAACAAAAAAATTGGTTAGTTGTTAAACCATGTGAGAGCAAAGTCGCTAGGTTTCCAATGTCATAGCATTAACTAACATTTTCATTTTTCAAAAAGACTGAATCCAAGATTTGGTGATAATATCGTATAATGGGAGATTTATAAGTAATCTTTAAAAAACGGGTCTTTTTTTTTTTCTGGAACTGGCTGATCATGGGTCTCATTTATATCAGTTTTTGAGTGAATATTGTCAAAATTATCCACAAATAATGCTTCGTTCACTCAAAAACTGAGGTGCATGGGCTCAAATCAATGAGGCCTACGATCAACCAGTTCCAACAAGAAATGCAAAATTTGTGCTAACTGAAAGAAAACAATTGGACAAAAAGATTGCATAAAAAAGGTAATAAAATCCCCAAAAAGTACAAAAATTACCAAATGTCAAATAAATAAATAGATTAATTAGATTAGATTAATTCATTCATTTAAAAAATCCTCAAAAATGGTTAAAGTGAAAATGTGATATTTATCTGCTTACCCCCAGGGCATCCAAGATGTAGGTGACTTTGTTTCTTCAGTAGAACACAAACGGAGATTTTTAACTCAAACCGTTGCAGCCTGTCAGTCATATAATGGAGGTGAATGGGAATCACGGCTTTGGGAGTCAAAAAAACATACACAAACAAAACCAAATTAAACCCTGACACTAAAATGACTGACAGACTGCAACGGTTTGAGTTAAAAATCTTCGTTTGTGTTCTACTGAAGAAAC